AATGTGTAATTTTGTGTTGATTTGTATAACTATGTTATTACTGTGTTATATAGTACTGTTGTTACTATGATAGAAAATGTAATAGGAGAGGTCACTACCTTTTCAAAAGATGTTGTGATATATGTCCAGGTACAGAATCTGTGTACAACATGTCCCTTACAGTACATATGCATTCATACACACATAGATCATTTATGTCAGACCTTAAACGTGGTAGCCTAATATTCTTGATGGAAACACAAAACAGACTACATATATTTGGAAAGGTTAGCATGACTAGGATTAGTGTGTGCACTTACAAATGAAAAAAGGTCAGCACTCACTTGAATATGATTTGCAATTGAAGCTTTGGTAACACTTTACTTGACACCCAGCGTCATAACACATTATGACACGGTCATAACCATGCCATAATATGTCATAACAGCTGACATAACTTGTCATAACATGTTATAATATGATCATAACACTGTTATGACACATATATTTAGACCTGTTGTGACATATATTGCATTATTTTATGGCTGGTCATGACATCTACATAAGCGCGAACAAATCCACAAAACCTACCATGGTAGTTATTTTATGGCTGGTTATGACACCTACATAAGAGTGTCAAAACCCACAAAACCTACCACACAAGGCAAAACATTCCATTATACCATAGCCTACGTGTCAACAGTATGTTTATGATATATAAAACAAACAAAAAATGGACCATATGAAATTATCATTGGAATTGCGCACACACTGATGTCAGACATCATGTATTTTATTAGTCCAAGTAAAGTGACACAGGATGGTCATAATGCTTCTTGACAGTGCCAAAAAGTGTATTTTCTTAGTCCAAGTGACACAGGATGGTCATAATGCTTCATGACAGTGCCAAAACGTGTATTTTCTTAGTCCAAGTGACACAGGATGGTCATAATGCTTCATGACTGTGTCATAAAAGTATATTTTCAAGAAGTTATTTAAAATATGATGGAAAAAAATGACTGTAAAGAATTCATTACAACAACAACAAAGGAATTAAGAACAAAAGGAAACTTCTTGGCAGGGGAAGAAAAAAAATATTGGAATAAATGTGGGTTTTGACACTGGGTGTCAAGTAAAGTGTTACTGAAGCTTTTACTGAATATGATTAGCAATTGAAGCTTCTATTGAATATGATTTGATTGCAAATCATGTTCAAGGGAGTGCTGGCCTTTCTTAATGTTTTATATGATTTATATTTGTTCCAAGCACCCTTATTACTTGTTTTACAAAAGGATTTAGAGTTGAGCATGTTCTCTATCTTTACTTAGTGCTACATCTTTCATAACCTGTTGATTGGAACTAGGAAAAATAGGTCACTCGTGTACTGTATAGAAGTGCTGATGTCGGCAGAGCATGGGGCATGTTCTAGACCTTACATTTGATGAGGTGCCATTTTTTTTGTTTTGTTTGTTTGTTGGCAAAAGTGCAGACTATGTTTTTGAAGTGTGCTGGGGCGTGTAATCAGCTTTAATGCCTGTCTGAATGACATAGATTACAATTGACTCTTGACCAACGGTCTTTGTGGTGCCGTTCGTTTTTGGTTCCCTAAAACTGTAGGTACGTTGAATTGGACTGTGTTTTATTACTGTTATTGTGCCTTCATCTCATTCAGAACATCCCATTGACAAAACTCTATAACATATATTAGAATTCCTCTTACCTGGGTTGATTTTCTAAAACGTTTACAATAGATTGTTCTTAGATTTGCATTCATAACATTTCTCCAAATGTTATTCAAGCTTACAGTGTGTTTTGTTTTTGCAGAAATCTACAGTCATGATAGGCCAGCAGAAGCTTCTCCTCCTGTGGGCATGGATGTTGCTGGTGGCAGCGCTGTGCCCAGGTGCCCTATGCAAACGCGGGGGTGGATTCAGGGGCTGGGGAAAGGGGGCAGGGGTGGGAAGCAAAGGGCCCCCCTCCCAGAGCCATGGCTCCTCCAGGCAGGGGCTAAAAATGGCAGGGGCAGCAGCTGCCGGGGCACTGGGTGGGGCTGCCATTGGTTACGGGCTGGGGTCACTCGGTAAGCCAAGACATGGCTACGGAGGACGTGGGTATGGCTACGACGCAGACTCATCTTCAGCGGACCAGAGATTCTACTATCCTGAAGGCCAAGGGCTTCACAACCAGTCTGACTGGCGCCGCTACAGAAACGCTGCTGGCCCCGGACCTGGACCCATGAGTAACATCCTCTTCACACTGGGATCAATGGTGCCTTTCTTCTTAGGGGACTGGATAAGGGGAATCTAGTCATAAACCATTTCCTTGGAAGTGGATTTTATCTGAATTGCTGGGCCGAAAGACTATAGAGTGGACAGATTTTGAATTCAAACTAATTTTGAATAAGTCCTGATCTTGTTGTCCTTTGGGTTAGTCCCACCATCACCTTTACAAAGCTATACTCATTCAAACCTCATTACCTCTGGTAAAAGAGATGTCAGGGAGGGGGTTTGTATGTTATTGTGTTGTAAAATGAACTTAGGTAGGATGCTGCAAATAATACATTTTTCCATTAAACATCTACTTTGCTGTGATTTTGATACTGTTATAAGTCATATTTTGCCATAGCAATACATGTGATTATTCACTAGCTTTAATATCTGCAAATAGCAAACATACGTTTTTGTAACACATATTAAAGGAATTTCAACCAATTTCATATTATTTTCTATGGATTTGGTAATATCCCACTGGGCACAGATGCCAATTCAACGTCTATTCCACATTGGTTCAACGTAATTTCATTGAAATTATGTGGAAACAACATTGATTCAACCAGTGTGTGCCCAGTGGGATGGGATTGCAGGAATGCCGTATTACTTATCATAAGGAAACTTGTTTTACTAACAATGCTTGGTTTATCTACTCTGGTCCACTATAGTTTCATTTAATAAAATATATATTTGTGTGCCTGTGTGTTGCTTTATTATGTTAATGATGATTATTATGCATAGTTAAGTTCAGAACCATATAGTGACATGGATAAGTATAGGGGAGGGGATCAGTAAATAAGAAATCAAAAGGGCTTCCCTCTGCATTTTGATTAAAATACTTGTTAAAAGGATGTAAGGACAATAAACTCAATAGTATAGTACTTCAAATATAAGCATTGTGTGCCAGGCTTCAGCGAAGAGAAAATATTTGATATCCCAGAAACACAAAAGATTGCTTTAAAGGAATTATAGGCTTAATATTCAGTTCATAATCAAATACATGTTTTTAGTGTATGAGGTGAGTCGAGGTATTTGTGTTCTGTTGTAAAGATAGCTTAATGATCATTTTTCATTAGACAGTATGGGAATTGTAACGCTGCCAACTAACAGGCAGAAACCCTGTCTGTTCCATTTCCTCACACAGTAATGACTGTTCTGTAACAACTTCCCCTGAGGCAACTAGTTTCCTAGCAACAGATGTCTTTAAAAGCTTATATGTGCTCTGTGAGATCATCATGGCAGCTACCCTCATGTTTTCCTAGAAGAGAATGACGGCACACTTTCAATGAGCACCAAAGGAAATGTGATTATGTGTTTTTTGTTTTGTTTTTTAGTGATCCTGTACTTGGAAGAAATGGAAGAAGACATCAGTCATTTCAGCAAGATAATGGTAAAATTCACCATTGAGTTCGAGCACGGCAAAGTGGTTATTTTAAACTATTTTAAAGACACATTAAAACAATGAATGTTCTCTACGTTAAAACCAATGTAAATGAGTTCATCACTAAATACATCCTTGAAAAACAAAGGAAAAAGAAGAGTCATTTATATCCATTCGCCAAGAGAAATAAGTGCACTTCTGATAACCAGGGGACAGGAGGACATGGAGAGGGAGACTAGATGGGGAGGTAGAGAGATGGGACAAGAGAGAAAAAGAAAAATAGGAACAGAAATAGGGATTGATTAATAACAAAACACTGACAATTCCTTACTTAATTACGGCGGCGCATTTACAAAACACCCAACTTTTAAAACCAAATACTGCAGACCACATAAGATCAAACATTTAAAGTACAAATACCATGTGATGTATCATGTACAGCAGTGGTTCCCAACTCTGGTCCTCGAGTACCCCCTACAGTACAACATTTTTATTGTAGCCCCGGACAAGCGCACCTGTTTCAACTTGTCAACTAATCATCAGGCACTCAATGATTTGAATCCGTTTGTCCAGGGCTACAACAAAAATGTGTGTGGTTGGGGGTACTCTGGGATTGGAGTTGGGAACCACTGATGTACAGTATAGCGCACACAAAAATGTGTTTATGAAATAATTGATTTAATATGACAGACGGTCGACATAATGCTTGCCTGTACTTTCTGTGGAACCACTTTGGAAAAAAAGACACAGAACCACAAATCGGATGATAGTACCTTACCTCATGTCCTATCACATAATAACACATAACAGGTTAGAATTGGATAATATTTAAAGTTTTTTATGTACTTGTAGTTAGTATTATATTCATAGATATATCGTAATAGTTACACAGATACAATATTAAAGCATCATGCATTTGGCATGACCTAACCATAGTGTTTTACAGAACAAAATACAGAGCTCAACAGACTATTCTACCAGGAACTGCTCTGCAACAAAAAGTGCAATGGAAAAAGAACAGTGGAAGTACTACAGCAGGAGATCCAAATTGACAGGGAATCCGTACAAATGTTAGAGACACAAAGGAGATTGGCCATTAGACAAACGGTAAAACTTTATTCAAGCTCAAATGTCCCCATAACGTGTGGAGGAAATGGTCCTCATTTTGCTGGAAGTTATTTTCCACTGGCTTCCTTTCCTTGTCCCCTTTCCTTCATGACCAAGGATTAGTTAAAGGACTGGTTATATCTCCACCTCCACCATACTTAATTAACCTATCCTCACAAGAAATCAGGGGCATAATGAGGAGGGGGGACTAGGAAATGAAGCTATTCCAGACAACTGGGACATGGCAATGTGTTCCTATCTTACTGCAGCAGGAGAGTGCTGCTCAGGACCATGAGGAGGGTGGTTATCAGCTGTACCAGCCCCTGGCCGAGGGGGTTACTGTGACTGTTCTCATACTTGTTGTTGTTGTTGTTGTTGCTGCCGCTGCTGCTGCGTTCAGCTGTCTGCTTCTCCAGGAAGCGCTCTGAGTAGTTCATGTACAGCTCCACACACTTACGGTTCTTCAGCTGCTCCACCAACACAGGGTAACCAATCTCCTCAATGCTCACTGTTGGGCCGTCATCCTCCTCCTTACCCTTACCCTCTCCAGCTATCTCCACATGGGCTGGGGTGAGAGGCTTCACTGTGTCTGTTCCCTCCTGGTTGCTAGCTGGACTGCTGTTCTCCACCTCAGGAGTGATGGGCATGCTCTGGCTGTTGGCTACCTGGGGGTTGTTCCTCTGGTTGTTAGGTGTGGCCTGGGAGTCGCTGCCCTGATCCTGCAGAAGGTCGTTCCTCTTCATGCAGGTATCCATGAAGCTGTCGTAAGACTCTGCCCGCGGTGGTACTTTGTAGGTATAGTCCCGGCCATAGTCGTTTTCGTCTGTGGAGCGTTCGCCGTATTTGCTGTACATGTAGTTGTTGTAGGACTGCTCCTCCTGAGGGTTGCGGAAGTTAAAGTGTGGGCGAGGGAAACGCCCAAGGCCATAGCCTATTGCCATACCTGCCACGGCCCCAACCCCTGCGGCCATAAGAGCCTTCTTAGCAAAGCCCTTGGACTGAGTAGAGGGGTAGTGCCCCATACCCTGAACTGAGCGTGAGAAGGGAGAGCCACCTCCCATACCCCCATGCCCACCTCCATAACCATAGCCTCCACCATAGCGGGGACTGAGGATCTTATTGTTTGGGTTCCAGTTGGGTTGGTAACCTCCTCCCATCCCTCCACCAGGGTAGCCCCCTGCCTGCCCCCAGCCTTGTCCAGTATTTCCCCCTCTTACTGGGTAACCTCCAGCTGGGTATCCCGGATTGACTCCTCCTCTTCCTGGATTCTGGTTGGGGTAGCCTGCTGCTGCAGGGTAACCACCCGCTGCTGGATTCTGGTTTGGATATCCCCCAGGATTTGCCCGGCCTGGATACTGCTGGTTGGGATAGCCACCAGCGGCTGGGTAACCTCCAGCTACAGGGTTCTGGTTTGGATATCCCCCAGGATTGGCTCTGCCTGGATACTGCTGGTTGGGATAGCCACCTGCTGCAGGATAGCCACCTGCTGCAGGATAGCCACCAGCGGCTGGGTAACCTCCAGCTGCAGGGTTCTGGTTTGGATATCCCCCAGGATTGGCTCTGCCTGGATACTGCTGGTTGGGGTAGCCACCTGCAGCAGGATAGCCACCTGCAGCAGGATAGCCACCTGCAGCAGGATAGCCACCTGCAGCAGGGTTTTGGTTAGGATATCCTCCTTGGTTGGTTCCCCGGCCTGGATACTGCTGGTTGTGGTTTCCACCTGCTGCAGGGTATCCACCGGCTGGGTTCTGGTTTTGATTGGTACCTCTCCCTGGATAACTACCTCCTGCTGGGTATGAGTTAGGGTTCCTGTTGGGGCTCTGTGGTTGTCTGGGGTAGCTTCCTGTCTGCGTGTTTGATGTTTTTGATGGCTTTTTTTCTGAGCCCCTGTTGTTGGATGAAGACTTTTTGCTGCTGCTACTGCTGCCACTTCTCTTGGCCCATGTAGAGTCAGTATGAAGCAGAGCCAGGAGGGCCAGAGACACCAGGGCCAGCTCACATAGCTTCCCCATGATAAATGCCCTGGGGGAAAAGATGATGATGGCGTCATTTACATACAATCATTTTTCTGAAGCCTTATCTCATTATTTCTGTTTTGACTTAAAACTGAGCTAACCCTCTCTGGTCACTGACACTCCCATCGCTGACGGTAAAATGTATTTGCCTAATTATAAGTATAAGCCTACCGTGTTCTGTTTCCAGAAAAACATTGACAATACTTGCTTTAAAAAAAACATGTAGCCATAGCTGAGGGAAGATGTTTGAGGTGGGGTTGCTGAATTTTTGTTGGCCCACGTTACAGACGGCTATATCGGTCCGCTAACACAGGACTAGTAAAGGCCCAATGCACTACCTTTGTGAATAAAAACAATTATTTCTAAAGATTTTCTATTTTTCAGCTTTTATTTAAAGCTAATCAGTAGGCTAAATTTAATAAAAATAGGCTACCACGGTGCCATAAAAGACAACACATATCCACGGGCAGATGTGCTTAGCTGTTTTATGATATATCAAATTTGACATCTCTCTTATCTTAGATATAACTGGAGAGTGAAGGAAACTTCCGCTATACACGCAGTTCTATTTTTTGGAAGCGGACCCTTTATTTGCATATTACGATTTAATTTAATAAAATGGCGCTATAGCGCTTTTATGCAGGACAGCCCGGGCTGTATGCCACCTGCTAACTTACTCCTTTACAACGAATGTGAATATCGTAAAATAACCTACCCTTGCTGATTCGAGACGATTCTGTTCCTTTTGTAGAAAAGTCGTATTTTTAATCTTTCGGTTTCTGTTATGATTCGGTCGCTCACCGCTTTCATCCAGAAGGGAGGGATCTATTTATCATGGATCACCGCTCATAGGCTACTCGTCTCTGTCATAGCACTCATAGCGGTGACTATAATAACACATTCTGACCCTGTTATAAGCCATTTAATACAGACTTCAGTTCTCTATATTTTATCAACATTTAGGCTAAACAACCATTTTAGTGCTAACAACTTCTTATAGGAATGCTTACTGATTTTATTGCCAGACTGTGCTACACTTTTCCCACCGACACCCACTACTGACTACATTGTCCCAACTCCGGGACTTTCCATAGGCCTACTACCGTAGCCTGTATGTGTCATACTAAGAGAAGTGATGGAAAATCATCACGTGGGAACCCAATATAACTCCGTGGTTCTTGCTGTGGCCGCAAAGCCTATCCAAGGTTTACATGTTGTTGACACCAGATGGCGACAAATGGATGTATGAGAGTTCATATTTTTGTCTTCATGAATTATTCAAATCAAAATCAAATCAAAACACATTTTATTGGTCGCGTACACACACTTGAAAATGTTATCGCAGGTGCAGTGAAATGCTTGTGCTTCCAGCTCCAACAGTGCAGTAATACCTAGCAATACAAATACACAAATAAAAACAAAATAGGCCTGCTACACACATAATCCAGAAAAATTAAGAAATATCAGAAAGAGCAATGTCAGAGACTATAAATATACACTACCGTTCAAAAGTTTGAATAGGAAATAAAGCAAAATGAATAGGAAATGTAGTCATTCACAAGGTCAGAAATAATTATATTTAATTGAAATAATAATTGTGTCCTTCAAACTTTGCTTTCGTCAAAGAATCCTCCATTTGCAGCATGTACAGTTTTGCAGACCTTTGGCATTCTAGTTGTCAATTTGAGGTAATCTGAAGAGATTTCACCCCATGCTTCCTGAAGCACCTCCCACAAATTGGATTGGCTTGATGGGCACTTCTTACATACCATACGGTCAAACTGCTCCCGCAACAGCTCAATAGGGTTGAGATCAGGCGACTGTGCTGGCCACTCCATTATAGACAGAATAACAGCTGACTGCTTCTTCCCTAAATAGTTATTGCATAGTTTGAAGCTGTGCTTTGTATAAAAGTAATCCTTCTACCCCCCCCCCCCCCCCATTAAAAATAAATATAAATAAAATAAGAACTGACCAAGATAAAGCAAAGCAGTGCGATAAAAACAACAACACAGAGTTACATATGGGGTAAAACAAAACATAAAGTCAAAAAGACAACAGAAAATATATATACAGTGTGTTCAAATGTAGCAAGTTATGGAGGTAAGGCAATAAATAGGCCATAGTGCAAAATAATTACAATTAGTATTAACACTGGAATGCTAGATGTGCAAGAGATGATGTGCAAATAGAGATACTGGGGTGCAAATTAGCAAAATAAGTAACAATATGGGGATGAGGTAGTTGGGTGGGCTAATTTCAGATGGGCTGTGTACAGGTGCAGTGATCGGTAAGGTGCTCTGACAACTGATGCTTAAAGTTAGTGAGGGAGATAAGTGTCTCCAGCTTCAGACATTTTTGCAATTCGTTCCAGTCATAGGCAGCAGAGAACTGGAAGGAATGGCGGCCAAAGGAGGTGTTGGCTTTGGAGATGACCAGTGAGATATACCTGCTGGAGCGCATACTACGGGTGGGTGTTGCTATGGTGACCAATGAGCTAAGATAAGGCGGGGATTTGCCTAGCAGTGATTTATAGATGGCCTGGAGCCAGTGGGTTTGGCAACGAATATGTAGTGAGGAGTAGCCAACAAGAGCGTACAGGTCACAGTGGTGGGTATTATATGGGGCTTTGGTGACAAAACGGATGGCACTGTGATAGACTACATCCAATTTGCTGAGTAGAGTGTTGGAGGCTATTTTGTAAATGACATCGCCAAAGTCAAGGATCGGTAGGATAGTCCGTTTTACGAGGGCATGTTTGGCAGCATGAGTGAAGGAGGCTTTGTTACGAAATAGGAAGCCGATTCTAGATTTAACTTTGGATTGGAGATGCTTAATGTGAGTCTGGAAGGAGAGTTTACAGTCTAACCAGACACCTAGGTATTTGTAGTTGTCCACATACTCTAGGTCAGACCTGTCGAGAGTAGTGATTCTAGTCGGGTGGGTGGGTGCCAGCAGCGTTCGATTGAAGAGCATGCATTTAGTTTTACTAGTGTTTAAGAGCAGTTGGAGGCTACTGAAGGAGTGTTGTATGGCATTGAAGCTCGTTTGGAGGTTTGTTAACACAGTGTCCAATGAAGGGCCAGATGTATACAAAATGGTGTCTTCTGCGTAGAGGTGGATCTGAGAGTCATCAGCAGCAAGAGCGACATCATTGATATACACGGAGAAAAGAGTCGGCCCAAGAATTGAACCCTGTGGCACCCCCATAGAGACTGCCATAGGTCCAGACAACAGGCCCTCCGATTTGACACATTGATCTCTATCTGAGAAGTAGTTGGTGAACCAGGCGAGGCAGTCATTTGAGAAACCAAGGCTATTTAGTCTGCCAATAAGAATGCGGTGGTTGACAGAGTCGAAAGCCTTGGCCAGGTCGATGAAGACGGCTGCACAGTACTGTCTATTATCGATCGCGGTTATAATATCGTTTAGCACCTTGAGCGTGGGTGAGGTGCACACATGACCAGCTCGGAAACTGGATTTCATAGCGGAGAAGGTACTGTGAGATTTGAAATGGTTGGTGATCTGTTTGTTAACTTGGCTTTCGAAAAATTTCGGTCCAGTGATTCAGTGATTCCGGCAGAAAATCCGATGTTCTGGGTGAAAACCGCTAACGGTGGCTAATAGCAAGTAACTAGTTAGCTGGCTGGCTAGTTTCAACTGGAGATTCTAGATAAAGGTGAGTAAATAATAGAATCCGTTCTACATTGAATGAGGCGGGTTGCAGGAAAGTATATTTAATAGAAGGATGAAAAGTGTGATAGGGAAATATATACGTAAAATACAAAAAACAGGCTATTTACATGGACACACAAGAGAACACGACCGCACTGCTATGCGGTGATGCTCAAGCTCAAGATACTCAACTATTCTCAAGAAGGCCAGTTTTCAATTAGCCTTTTAAAATGATAAACTTGGATTAGCAAACACAACGTGCCATTGGAACACAGGACTGATGGTTGCTGATAATGGGCCTCTGTACGCCTATGTTGATATTCCATTAAAAATCAGCTTTTTCCAGCTCAAATAGCAATTTTCAACATTAACAATGTCTACACTGTATTTCTGATCAATTTGATGTTATTTTAATGGACAAAAAAAAAGCTTTTCTTTCGAAAACAAGGACATTTCTAAGTGACCCCAAACTTTTGAACGGTAGTGTTTATGCATATAATGTACAGTGGGGAAAAAACGTATTTAGTCAGCCACCAATTGTGCAAGTTCTCCCACTTAAAAAGATGAGAGGCCTGTAATTTTCATCATAGGTACACGTCAACTATGACAGACAAATTTAGATTTTTTTTTCTCCTGAAAATCACATTGTAGGATTTTTAATGAATTTATTTGCAAATTATGGTGGAAAATAAGTATTTGGTCACCTACAAACAAGCAAGATTTATGGCTCTCACAGACCTGTAACTTCTTCTTTAAGAGGCTCCTCTGTCCTCCACTCGTTACCTGTATTAATGGCACCTGTTTGAACTTGTTATCAGTATAAAAGACACCTGTCCACAACCTCAAACAGTCACACTCCAAACTCCACTATGGCCAAGACCAAAGAGCTGTCAAAGGACACCAGAAACAAAATTGTAGACCTGCACCAGGCTGGGAAGACTGAATCTGCAATAGGTAAGCAGCTTGTTTTGAAGAAATCAACTGTGGGAGCAATTATTAGGAAATGGAAGACATACAAGACCACTGATAATCTCCCTCGATCTGGGACTCCACGCAAGATCTCACCCCGTGGTGTTCAAAATGATCACAAGAACGGTGAGCAAAAATCCCAGAACCACACGGGGGGACCTAGTGAATGACCTGCAGAGAGCTGGGACCAAAGTAACAAAGCCTACCATCAGTAACACACTACGCCGCCAGGGACTCAAATCCTGCAGTGCCAGACGTGTCCCCCTGCTTAAGCCAGTACATGTCCAGGCCCGTCTGAAGTTTGCTAGAGTGCATTTGGATGATCCAGAAGAGGATTGGGAGAATGTCATATGGTCAGAATAT